TTTACTGCTTCACCTGGGCAAACCGCCAGGTATGCTGACACATTAAAATTTACAATAATTGGAGGGGGGGATACAATGTGCAACCCCTCACAAAGGTTATCTGGCACTTCCCTTGATGATCCAGAGCATCAGAGTCAAACTGTATATTACACGCAGTTGTGTACAACTTTCCACTGGTATTTTTTTAAAAACAAAAAACACAACCAAAGGAGAGGAGAATGATGACTGGAAGCTATTTAACCCTTCCCCTGGGTGTATTTTATTGCTTAAAATAATCCTCTATGTGCTTTCCCCTCACAGGGACAATGGTATAGGTACCCATACCTTTCCCCATCCCCAGAAAGAAAGCACCTTGGGGAGACGTGCAAAATTTTATTTATTTAGGATGTTTCTATGCCACTTTGCTAGTGTCCTGCTTGAGGCAATGTACAATTAAAACAATACAAACCATTGAACATAAAGAGCATGAAAACTATCCGTAAAACAGAAGCAAACCATTAAAGAATCTGGTATGGTAGAACCCCAGTTTGGTGTAGTGGTTAAGTGCATGGACTCTAATGTGGGAGAACCGGGTTTGATTCCCCACTCTTCCACCTGCAGCTGCTGGATGACCTTGGGCAAGCCATAGTTCTGTCAGAGCTGTTCTCTCAAGGACAGCTCTGGAAAGAGCCCTCTCAGCCCCACCTACCTCACAGGGTGTCCGTTGTGGGGAGGGGGAGGGGAAGGAGTTTGTAAGCCACTCTGAGACTCCGAGTGAAGGGTGGGGTATAAATCCAATCTCCTCCTCCTCCTCTTATGTGTTCTATACAAATTCATGGTAGTAGTGTTCAGCCCACATCCCATTCCTGGTTCGACAATTAATTTTGCTCTAAGAATAAGACAGTGGGTTTCGGGTTCAGTACATTTCTCTTCCTTTGGTTATTGATACACTTAGATGGAATAGGAGAGCCAGTTTGGTGTAGTGGTTAGGAGCACAGACACTAATCTGAGAGAACCGGGTTTGATTCCCCAGTCCTCCACATGCAACTGCTGGTGTGTCCTTTGGTCAGTTACAAGTTCTTTTAGAGCTGTTCTCTCAACCGCGGTTCTCAAGCGAGCTCTCTCAATCCCACCTGCCTCCACAGTGTGTCCGTTGTGGGGAGTGGAAGGGAAAGGAGATTGTAAACTGCTCTGAGACTCCTTCGGGTAGTGAAGGGTGGAGTATAAATCCAATTTCCTCCTCCTCCTCCTTCTCCTAGCCTGACGAAAAGATGTGTTTTGGCCTGGCACCTTGAAAAAAGTGAAGTAGATACGAGGTGAGTCTCAAAGGGGAGGGCATTCCAGATATGATATCTTGTGTCTAGTCGCCACGCACCTGACCTCTGAAGAGCTTGAGGAGGGCTTGAGAGGCAGATCTCAAGTGGACGGGCTGGGGAGTCTGGGAGGAGGTGGTCCTTCAGGTACCCTGGCCTCGAGCGGTTTAGGGCCCAAAAGGTAAGAATTTTGCATGGAAACAGATGGTAGCCGGTGCAGATCTTTCAGCACAGGCCATCAAGTCCTATAATCAAGCCCTAACAGTATTCTGGCTGCCACATTTTGGACCCGTTGAAGTTTCCGGACCACTTTCAGAGGCAGGCACATTGCAGTAATCTCTCTCGTGGATGTGATCAGAGCACGTAGCACAGTGGCCAGATCACACTTTTTGAGGAGCAGCCATAGCTTGCAAACCAGCCAGAGCTGATAAAAGGCCTTGTGTGCCGCAGAGGAGACAGACAACCAGGATCCAGTAGCACCCCCCCCCCCCCCCGGCAACGAACCTGCTCCTTCAGGGGGAGTGCAGCCCCTACAGGGACAGGCTGACTTCACAGTCTCGAAGCCGCTTCTCCCTTGACTACATTCGGAATGAGCAAACAGCATGAGAGCAAAGCCGTCCACCTTCTACCTCCACTTGGTGCTTTGCTGAAGAGTCCTCCTGAAGCAGGGTTTTTTCCTTTGCTAATGGGTAAGGGTGATATTGGAAAACTGTGTTCATATAGCTCTTAGAGCAGATCTCAGTGGCTCACCTCTTGATGTAGGATGGGGCTCCAGGAGCCATGGAGGGCCCTATAAGCGGGCCCGTTAAGGACGACGGGACGCTGTGAAGGTCCCTGGTCATCTATTGGGGCGCCAGGAGCAGCCTGCCTTCACCGGTGGCCACATTGACCCATGGCCAGGCCCCCAGGCTTTTAGAGGCGCAGGCGCATTACGAGAGGTGTCTGGTGAGGCCACATCACCTGCAACCACCAGAGCGGGCTCGAAAGGCTGTGCTAGAATAAAAACCAGCTGGGAACGAAGGCGTCACAAGAGTCCTGCTTCCTTTTGTTCCCACAGACCAAGACACCGCAATCCAACCATCAGCAAGAACTGCCATTTTATTTTAGTTGCAAAATGCCTTGCCTAAGAAATATATATATCAGTTTTTCATTTTATTAAGAACTGATAGGATATGTAGTCTTCATTACATGCCATCTGATCTGTTTGAAATGTGCTGTTAATGTTTTAATTGTTTTATCTTGATAATGTTTTTTGGAATGTTGTAGATCACACAAGAGCTCTGCACTAGCAGGGATTGGCCAATTAACAAATTAAATAAATAAATAAACATGCTACAAGGGTGCTCTGCCTGTCTTCTGAAGCCATTCGGAACCCAACTTAAATGCTTGCTTTAGTCCCGAAAACCTTCAGTGGCTTCAACCCAACGTGCCAAATGTGTCCCATTGAATCTCTTTAAGCTCAACAAGCACCAGCCTGTTAGAATAATAGAGCAGAGTGAAATTAATATGCCAACATCTTGGCACATTCACAGGTTAATTACAGGTTTCAAGGGAGGAATGTCCTTGATAGCTATACGTTTTTGCATAGCTGATATGTTAAAGGATGCGTGGTTTTAAAAAAATCCTGAAAAATGTTTTGGAGAGAGGGCTCACAATTCAAAGTATAAGAGATACTTTGAACTGAAGATATACTTTTATGGCTTGGGAGGAATCAGTGAAATCATGTGCTGCTGGATCGCCAGAAGCAAAGCAGGAAGCAGCCCCTGTAAATCCAGTGCTTTTCCCCCTCAGGTGGAGGACATCTCCATGGAATAACCCATCATTCCTTTAGGGAGGCAGGAAATATTTCCCCCCTTTCCTCTTGGCGCCTTCGGAATTTCCCCCCTCAGTTCTATTCCTGCCTCTTAGGGAGTAGCAGCTAGAGACAAGGCTCTGGCCTTTTCTGCCTGCCTGCCTTTTCAGCTTTCACCATTTCTTTCCTTTCCCTAACTACTCTATCTCTGCCCGTACTGAACTCGCTTACTGAAACTCCTCTTCCTTTCTTATTCTCTCTCCAGCTTGTGCTTTCCCACCACTGAAAAAACAAACACGGACCCAATGTTTTGGAAGAACTGGCCAGCAGACAGCCTCCCTCACATTATTGTCCTTGGTTTGGTCTACATTTGAAACTTAGCATCTAATAGAGAGAAATCAGTTGTCACAAGGCCTGTGTCATGTGAAGATATACTTAGGAGCTTTCCATAAAGACAAGAATTCTGTCCCGTTCGAATTCCAGCAGCTCATTGTATCACTAAGGCGCTCTGAAAAATCTTGAAGGTGCATAACCCCAAATCATATCACATGAGTTGTGACACTCCCCCACCCCAAACCCTGCAGCTGAGCATTTAGGGATACCAGCCTCCAGGTGGGACCTGGGGATCCCCTGGAATTACAGTTTATCTCCAGGCAACAGAGATCAGTTCCCCAGGAACAAACAGATGCTTTGGAGGGAAGACTCTACAGCATTGTATCCACTGAGGTCCCTGTCTTCCCCAGGCTCCAACTCTAAATATCTAGGAGTTTCCGAACCTGGATCTGGCCATCCTGCCCCACCACCACCATGAGTGGTGGCTGGGGGTGGTGGTGGTAGTGGAATCTACCCATCCTAAGAGCATTTGTAAGCCCCATTGAATCAATCTGAGCAGGATTCTGGGTAGACCTGCTAAGGATTGCTCTCAAGTCTCTGCCTCTGTGATTTAGTTCATGGAGGTGAATTTTAATTGTCAAGGAAAATGTTTTAATCAATGGCACATCAAATTAAGTAACTTTGCCTCCTGTGTGTTACTGTAAAGGAGAATTAGAGTATTAAAGTCCCCCCTCCCTTTTATCCTTAGGTAGTGCACTTGATTCAGTATTTCAGCCAGTTTTGTTTAGGTTTTGCAATACACAATTGCAGTCGTTGGTTAAGGCAGATTAACCAACTAAAGTTATTTAATCAGTTTGACAGCCCTTGCGGAAAGTAAACTGATTGAAACCAGGTATTTGTTTTTTCAAGTCAGCTGAGATAAAGCATTGGTCATTTACATTGTGCCATCTTTTCTGTGTATTTGGTCTTAACATTCGGCATTGGTTACTTTTACATTCTTGTGCTTCATTGGGAATCATGAAATGGAGAGATGTGCTTTTTATTAGGCCAATATTAGCAATTTATACTCTTGCTGGCTATAGACTAATTTCTAACTTTATTCTACCTAATGAAGAATATGTTAAATCGTTCATATACTTTTTTGTTATTTTGTTATTTTGATCATTTAGTTGCTTTGTGATTAGCTGGGGATGACTGAATTCATGTTATTCATTGCATTAGTTTGTTTGGCTTTATGCAAAGAACTTGTGTTTTGAAGCTGGGTTTCAAGACACAGCAGAAAATAATGTCCCTTCTGCCTTGAATTTCATGGGTTTCACAGAAATTTTAAAGGTGGAAGCATGTGTTGCAATAAGTAGTTAGGCATCCACGTCCCTGGGTGCAGAAACACCTAAGATTGGCTTAAAGCATAAATTTGGAAACTCCATTGCCATAGGAATGTAATGTTTCGCTAAAATGAGGAGCTGTATATTTTAATGGGAATTGCGATTATTTCTATAGCTATGCATTTGATTTAGTTACTCTATCTGTTGAGGACAGAAATAGGCTCAACACTTTTCTCACTCCCCGTTTTCTTTTTCCAGAATTCAATCCGCCATAACCTCTCGTTGCACAGCAAGTTTATTAGAGTGCAGAACGAAGGGACCGGGAAAAGCTCGTGGTGGATGCTCAACCCAGAAGGAGGCAAAAGCGGCAAGTCTCCCAGGAGAAGGGCTGCCTCCATGGACAACAGCACCAAGTTCGCCAAAAGCAGAGGCAGAGCCGCAAAGAAAAAAGCCGCTCTTCAGGCCGGTCAAGATGGAAACAGCGACAGTCCGGGCACACAGTTCTCCAAATGGCCCGCAAGCCCCAGCTCTCATAGTAATGACGACTTTGATAATAATTGGAGTACATTTAGACCTAGAACCAGTTCTAACGCTAGTACAATTAGTGGGAGGCTTTCTCCAATCATGCCAGAACAAGACGACCTCGGAGAAGGGGATGTGCACACCATGGTCTACCCTCCATCAGGAACCAAAATGGCTTCAACTCTGCCTAGCCTTTCTGAGATGAGCAGTTCAGAAACCATGGAGAACCTGCTGGATAACCTCAACCTTTTATCCCCAAACACATCTTTGGCTGGATCAACCCAATCCCCACCTTCTACCATGATGCAGCAATCATCAGGTTATTCATATGCTCCATCCAGCACAAATATAGGTTCCCCAAACGCAGACTACAGGAAATACAATTATGGTCAGACTAGCCTGAACACACTGTCCCGAATACCTATGCAAACCCTTCAAGACAATAAATCGGGTTATGGAAACATCAGTCAGTATAGTTGCCCTGTAGGACTGCTGAAGGAGCTGCTAACTTCAGATTCACCTCCACACAGTGATATCTTGACATCTGTAGACACTCACGTTTCCCAGTCCAGTGGCCGAGTGTTGGGACCAAATGTTTTAATGGCCACTAACTCAGCCATGACGCCGTACGGCAGTCAACAAAATCATAACAAAATTGTTCCCCCCAGTACCCACCCACACCAAGGACACGTCCAGCCAACCTCAGTAGTTAACAGCCATACTTTGTCTCTCACAGTTAGCACCGTGTCTCACGCTTCGGGTGTACATCGTCCGTCCGCAGTGAAAACCTCAATGCAAGTGCCTATGAGCCACCCCATGCAGATGAATAGCATCAACCCTTACACCACTGTGAACAGCTGTAATGGCTACGGAAGAGTGGGAATAGTATCTTTCCACCAGGAGAAGCTCCCTAGTGACTTAGACGATATGTTGATTGAACGATTGGACTGTGATATGGAGTCAATAATTCGTAATGACCTCATGGACGGGGAGACGTTAGACTTTAACTTTGACAATGTGTTGCCTAACCAAGGTTTGTCGCACGGTGTAAAGACAACAACACACAGCTGGGTGCCTGGGTAAGACTGGAAGGTTAGTTTCCCATATTTTATTATTTCCGTACATATTGCCACTTATTCCGCACACAAAGAGGGTGCTTCTGTTGAGTGGTGTGGGACAAAATTTGTCAGAAATCACTTCTTCTGTTATAATGTTGTAGCACAAGGTGAAGCAGCATACATTAAGCTCTTCTTTGTTAGGGAGGTCTTAAGACACCTATGGGCGTGTCAGATCCAGCTGTTGGAAATGTTGAACTTCAACAGGAATGTGGACTGAGGGAGATAGAGAAAAGGAAGGTACTTCACGGCAATGTTCCCTCTAAGCTGTCGAGTGTTGTGAGCAAAAATTCTACTTTGTGAGCTACTGGCATTAAAGTTGTAAGCAAACAATTTGGCTACTGCATAAGTTAGTTTGCTCTGGAGCCATTCTTCCTGAGCTAAGATGAAAATGTGTGAGCTGGAGGCTAAAAAACTGTGAGCTAGCTCACACCAACTCGGCTTAGAGGGAACACTGCTTCACGGTGAAGATCATAAGCAAGTGCAATTCCATATAAGTAGGTTTTAGAGAGGGACTAAGAGACAGGCTGCGGTAGCTCAGAGGTTAAGATGCTGAGTTGCAGACCGGAAGGTCTGTAATTCAGCAGTTCGAGACCCTAGTGCCATGTGGTGGAGTGAGCTCCCGTCTCTGGCCCCATATCCTGCCAACCTAGCAGTTCGAAAGCAAGAAATTGCAAGTAGATAAATAGGTACCGCTTCGGTGGGAAGCTAAAGCATTCTGTGTGCCTCGGCGTTTAGTCATGCCTGCCACATGACCACAGAGAAGTCTCCGGACAGCGCTGGCCTTTTGGCTTGGAAACGGAGATGAGCACTGCCCCCTAGAGTCGGATTTGAGTGGCTTTCGAGCAAGGGAAACCTTTACCTTAAGAGATGAAAATGTTGGCTCATGACAGGTGATACTGGTAGCAACTTCAAGATGAAACTGCAGTGAAAGATTTGGGGAAGTTCATTTGAAATAGGAAACTTTTGTCCTTATTTGAGTTGTTGGGGACAATAATCTAGCAGTAGAATAGGAGTTATGTTAAACTGGAGCAAGAACACAAACAGACTTGAAACAAAGTAAAAGATGTGGTGGGGGGGAGGAATGAGTAAAATGGGTGCACAGGTCAAACAGTTACATGGGCCGTAATGGATCTTGATTAAAGCTAAGTTGCCCTCCCGTGGTGGCACCTGGCCCAGTTTCTGAGTCGAGAAGTTTCCCGTGTGTGTGTGTGGGGGGAGGGTCACAGTGCCACCTCTCTGACCCCCACCCCCACCTTGGGAAAGGAAATTTCTCCATTGCATCCCAGGGCCATGCATTTCAGCCTGACCCCCTCTTTCTCTGGCTGGGAGAAGCAAGCTTCCTGTCATGTCCCTGGGAGAAACCGGTTGCTGCATCCCTGCCAGGAGGAGGGGTTGTAATACAGACTGCCTGGGAGTCAGCATCCTAATCCCTCCTTCCCAGGTAAACTGTTTGCTGTGTCCCTGCAAGACGTAGGGTTGGGGGGGATGCAGGCAGTAGTGTCAGAATGTTATTTCCCTACCTGGGATTCAGCATGTGCTACACAACGTTGGGTTCACCCAGCCACATGTTGTGTGTGCTCTTTGGCAGTAAGCAAAACAGAAGGGTTTGTATAGTCATCTTGATTAGCAATTAGCCTCTGTTCCTCTGTGTAAAAAGAGCTCTTATTAAAGGGCGGACTCCCCCTTCCCCCAGCCTGGATTAAATATTTGGATTCCAAGATTACCATTGTTTATTGCTCTTCATTCTTACCTTTTAAAATTAACAAAGTAGGCAGTCATATATGTTGCATACAATTTTATGTGGTAAAACTGACCGTCAGGTTCACGGTTGAGCATCTTGGATCAAGCCTAGATAGAGAAAGGGCCCAGGGGAACAGCTGTCTGGCAACCAGGCCAAAGCTGACACTGTCCCTCGGAGGACCTCGAACAGTCACCAAATGAAAAATGATCGTGAGAATCAGTTTATATTTTTAAAGCTTAGCATTTGCCCAGACAAGTACAGAAAGTACGATGAGGTATGCAATGCTTCAGTGGTCTCTATTAAAGATTCCAGTGTTTTTTGTGGCCGATGTCACTAGTCCCGGCACAATGCTCCCTCTAAGCTGTGGAGTCTTGTGAGCAAAAATTCTCCTTTGTGGGCTACTGGCATTGCAGTTGTGAGTGAGTGATTTGGCTACTGCATCAATTAGTTTGCTCTGGAGCAGTGTTCCCTCTAAGCTGAGTTGCTGTGAGCTAGCTCACAGTTTTTTAGCCTCCAGCTCACACATTTTCATCTTAGCTCAGGAAGGATGGCTCCAGAGCAAACTAATTTATGCAGTAGCCAAATCACTCACCCACAACTTTAATGCCAGTGGCTCACAGAGTAGAATTTTTACTCACAAGACTCCACAGTTTAGAGGGAGCATTGCTCTGGAGCCATCCTTCCTGAGCGAAGGCAAAAATGTGTGAGCCAGAGGCTAAAAAACTGTGAGCTAGCTCACACTAACTCATCTTAGAGGGAACACTGCTCTGGAGCCATCCTTCCTGATAAAATGTGTGAGCTGGAGGCAAAAAAACTGTGAGCTAGCTTACACTAACTCAGCTTAGAGGAAACACTGTGCTGTAATTAATATTTTCCTCTTTTTTGTACACTATTCTATAAAATCCACATTTGTGCTCTAAAGAGAACTGGAAACCTTTCTCCCCCCCCCTTCACTTAAATCTGAGAGACACATAGTGGTATGTAGGATCCTGGTATGACCAGAGGTCATTTCGGGGGGGGGATCGCAGTTCCCCCGGGTGAGGTACGGGGGCGGGGCACATGACGAAGCCCCGCCCCCTGCTTCCGGCCGCCCCGCTTCCGGTCCTCATTCAGCCAGGAGGAGGCAGGAGAAGAGGGAGGGTAAGTTGCTTCCTCCCTGCCTCTCCCCACCCCTGCCTGCCTGGGGCCAGGGAGGGCCTTCGCGGGGCTTCCTTGCACTCCTGCCGGCCTTGCAGGTCCACCGCCGGGTCCCTCATGGGGCTCGGCAGTGGAGCTGCAAGGCCAGCGGCGGCGGCCAGGACCGTTGGGGGCGGGGTGTGTGGCCTTATGACACACTTCCGGTGATGTCAGGGGGTGTGGCATATGCTAATGAGTTCCCCTAGTTTTTTTCTACGAAACGACCCCTGGGTATGACTAACTACATCATATGTAATAAATTTTCTACCTTTGACCGTCGGCCTCCTTAACAATCCTGTAAAAGATTCCGAAATGATATACTCTTAAATATGTATTTGTAACTGGCTTGAATGGGTAAGAAATTGAACCTTTCAGTTTTGGTTCTCTTACAGAGTAGCCATAAGCAGTGTTGCACCCTTCTTAAGTCCACTGAAGTCACTGGAGTTAGAAGGATGTAACCCTGCTTAGGGTTTCGCCGTTAGACATATGAACGTTATAACCTTCTGTCTTGCATTCTGAATATTTGTATTTTCCTTCTGTTGTCCTAGGCTACAATTTAAAGTGCTTCAGAGATCTCTAACTGCAGAAACTGAGCAAGAGAGTCCAAAGATATCCTTCAGCCTTTGTATATTCTTTGTAAAAAAATTTCTCTTGTCAGACTTGGCAGCAGATAGATTTTTTTCCCCTGCACTGGATGTATGCCAGATACTTGCAGGTCATTTGCTGCTGTAGGTAGGTATGTGCCATTGGAAGTGCGTTTACCTGGACGTGCCAAACTCTCACTACAATGTCAAAGGAGAAGAAAATACCTTTTTCATCATGTTTGGTGACTGTGAACATTGTACGCTGTAGAAGCAAAACTTTTTTAAAAATCTGAGAAAAAGTTAAAACTTTTAATACTGTGGTAGTTTTAAACCTTGACTTGCCTCTGATCCAATTCTTTTTTTCATCTGCTGAACTCATGGGGACCTATGGATAGCTCATTTAACTGCCTTAAATGTATTAATATTGCTCTACATTTCATATGAAAACATATCATTGTATGTTATCTGACCAAAGTCATTGGCCACTCAGACTTCCACGTCCAAGAGCAGATTGAAAACTTTATCTATCAAATTTCTTACTGGTTTTGTAGATTTATTGTGGGGGGCTAACTTCCAGATCATTTAATTTTATTAATCAACTTGAATTTTTTTGTAATACGCATATTGCTATTTTTCTTACATCTCTACTTTGTTATACAAGCTACTTAAAAAAAATTAAATTCAAGATGCCTAGCAACATTCCTAACATTTTATATACAGTATTTTAACTAGAGTAAGGGGGGAGAAGTTTATTATTAGCACCCTGATGCATGTATGCATCTAAAAGTAGGTAATATCTTTGAGCATTCCCTTCCCAACAGTTGATCTGTAGGTATATACCGAACTTCTTTCACTGTGAACACTGACTACCACCAAGTGTTCATTGTTGCATGGATTTAGGTCCAGTGCTTTATTTCACGGAAGTTTCATAAGGTTTGGTATCCCCAGTGTAGGGACTTCTCAGTTTAATAATGTTTCCATTAATAATCTGTGTTAGTTTTGCTTGTTCTTAATTGGCTTGATGGGATCTATTACCTCTCTCTTTCCCCTCCCCCCCACTGCTTCCTGCTTAGTTTAAAGACATTCAAAGGGATATAACCTTTGGTGGTGTGAACATACTTTGCAGTAACAGATCACCATGACAAGCTGCGGAGACATAATTATTTATATGATTGGCTTCAGTTGATCCTAACACCTTCAGAATCTTACATTATGCATAGTCCCAAGTCTCTTGGAGAGGTTTATAATAGTAGGTTGTTAAAGTATAGGTGAATAATGTAGAATCTAAAATACTGTGTTGTGTACTTCTGATGGCTCCTTAGAATGCTAACTTGAGCACCGATCCCCCTGTACTGTCTATATTTTCATATGGCACATCCCACTGTTCACCTGTTGTTAGCGTAATCATAGAAGAAAATCCCTCTTAATATATCAGACATTCAGATAATGTTCTAATAATGCTGCCCAGTAATTGTGGGGAAAGTGAAAGATTAATGAAGGTTATTATTCTAAATGGAAAGTTGTGTGACTGCCGATGAAACATGCTTTCTGCATAGACTTTAATTTCGGTAGTACTTGAGTAAAAAAAATATTGTAAATGGTGGCGTTACAAAATGTGCAAATTGTTCTACCAAGCAGCTTTGTATTTTGCTTTCCCCCGCCCCTATTGGTCTGTACTCATTGTGAGAAGTGTGTTATACAATAGAACTGTTCCTATACTTTACATTTTAATATATTGTTTCTTCTGTAACATGTATTATTAGTTGCATTAATGAGACCTCTGTCTTGATTAAACTGACAAGTTGCTTAGAATGGTAACCAAAGTTGTGCTGATGAATGCTGCCAGTGCGACAGAACGTTCCCTAAAAGAAGAAGATAAAAGATAAAAGTGGACCAGCTCTTCTAACAGTCTTAAGTTTGGACTTGTTCAACAACTGGATGGGTGTTGCTTTTTTTTATATAAACAGTTTTAAGTTCACATGAAATTTTCAGGCTTGTTAATTTATAACTAATTTTAAATAAGATATCTTTCTCTCTTTTTTGTATTTTGTAATTACTATAAAAAGTGTACTGTGGTTCTTGCGAGCAAAGAAATGTAACTCTGCGTTAACTTTTATATGGACTTTTGTATGGAAGAGGTCGCTCTCATCCTTCTGCCGAACCAGCACTGTTGCCACACTGACATGGAAATACTTCACATTTCATTTGGATGAGCTGTAAGAATACGGTGGCATTTTACTGTTGCACCCTGCAGAATTATCTTTGGGATATGTGTAAAAAAAAAGTGCCTGATGTTTTTTCAAACCTAAAATAAGCCTTTGTATAAAGCCATAAATGTATATACATTGCTTTAATTGTGTTGTCTTTTTCATGTGGTGACTTGTATGTTGATAAAGGATTCTGATCTTTATTAGTTGAAATCATTCATATAATCAGGAGAAATCTTTCGGGATCCTAATTTATCAAAAATCCTGGGAGATAGAGTGCATTGTAACTTGGGCAAATTTTGTTGAGACAGTGACCAAAAAGATTTATAAATGGGTATTTCAGTTTTGTAAATAGAGGGACTTGGGGCATAGTGATGGGTGACTCTCCAAAAGCTAAAACCAAAATCTGTGTAATACAACACAGTTTTTTAAGGACCAGCCAAACTGACACAAAACGTTGTGTAAGCTTTCAAGAACAGCCAGTACTTAACCAGTAAATCCATGAATGAACTGAGATTTCCGGCCCTAATGTAAATGGAGCGCTCTATGAGATGGCTTGCCCTTTTCCTTTCAGCGCTGTCCCCAATGCTGCCCTCCCACAACTGAGACAGGGAAGATCGAAGCACTTACACCTTTCAGTGGGCTTAGAAGGCTGTCATTCTGCTTGAGATTATTGCACTGTGAATTGTAGACTTGGAAAGCTGTAGAATTCCAGGTTGTACGACTACCATACAATCATGCCCCACAGTGCATTAACCTAACTGGCACAGAGTGTTCGAAGCATGAGATCTGCATTTGTTTCCACTGTGCTTTGGAAAACAAATCCACACGGCACTCTTGATGTTTAGTAGCTTTCGGTTGTAATACAGTAATTTTGTATAAATTGTCCGTAATTCTGAATTCTGTTCTTCATTATAGTCTTATACCAGTGGTCATGTAGGAGTCCTTAGAAAATAAAGGTATATAAAAATACATCTGGAATATCCATCTAAAAGCTCTGTGAGTCAAAGGCTTGCCAGAGGCAGTATAGCCTAATAAAAATGTGAAGTCCAGTGAAATACTTTTTCTCCCTCCCGGGCAGTGGGTGCAATCTTTCATACCCACGTGACAAATACAGACCCAAGTCAACGGCCTGAGTAACTGTGACCAATTTCCCACAAGCCGCTGCTCTGCGTTCGCTCTACCCTTTCCCCCGATCAAAAAACAGGATTGAGTAGACACGGGGGAAATCGGGCAAAACTGGGGGGCAAAACGTGGCCATGCAGCGAATAGTGGGAAATTGACACATACGATCGGGGAAAGGGAAGAGCGAGGGTGGAGCAGCAGCTTGTGGGAAATCGGTCCCTGTGTCAAAATGGGAAATGCAGTTCTGGCTTTCCCTGATAGGCAGCTTTCTTTAGAGTGCCAGGTTTGATAGACGGTTACTTACAGTTCTGGCATAACCAGGTTTGCCAACCTACAGGTGGCACCAGTCAATCTCCTGCAGTTACAGTTGATCTCAAGATGAGTAAGATCATTTCCCCTGGAGAAAATGGCTGCTTTGGAGGGGTGGACTCTGCAGTGGTCCCTCCTCAAACCCTCCCCTCCCCAGGCCCCACCCCCCAAAAAAACCTCCAGGTATTTTCCAACCCCGACCTGACAACCTTAGGCATATATACCATAACACCTACCATAAGACAGGTCGCAGCCCGGTCAGGGAAATGCAGTGCTATTGCTATTCTGTGTCCCTGGCTATTCTACCTAATAGAAGCAGAGCTAAATATCCCAACTTCAACTTCACCTGAACTCTCTGCTTAAAGCAATAAACAGTTCTGCAATAAAAGTAAATGGCAGGGGGCTGATTTTAAGCCTAATGACGCTTGGCCCGGGAAAGTTTTACTGTGCTTGTTGGAAAAGTTTAGCTAATGCTAATTAATTCATCCTCAGTTCAGTAGATTTTGAAATGTCTCATCACACATTCTTCAGCCTCATGCATGCTGGATGTCATAAGAACTGTAAAAATTTTAACGAGGCTCTGATGAATAGAGATATGGCTGTTTGTAGCTGAACTCTTGTCTCTATTGCTTGGAGGGGAAAGAACATTCCCCTATTAAAAGCATCCTCATTTTATAACACAGAGCTGACAAAGAAGCACGTGTCCAAGGCCTCCCGGGAGTAGATACTACCTTTAAAAATCTACCTTGTTTGTATTTTGGAGGACTGTAAAGAGCTTGCATGTAGTATAATGTGTGTGTGTGTGTGTGTGTGTGTGTGTGTGTGTGTGTGTGAGCAGCAGTACCTGTTATAGACAATGTTCCCTCTGTGGAGTCTTGTGAGCAAAAAATTCTACTTTGTGAGCTACTGGCATTAAAGTTGTGAGCTTTAATTTGGCTACTGCATAAATTAGTTTGCTCTGCAACCATCCTTCCTGAGCGAAGACAAAAATGTGTGAGCTGGAGGCTCAAAAACTATGAGATAGCTCACACTAACTCAGCTTAGAGAGAACACTGGTTATAGATATTACAACCTGAACCAATGATAGCTGGTGCCCAGTGTTCCCTCTAAACTGAGTTAGTGTGAGCCAGCTCACACATTTTTGTCTTCGCTCAGGAAGGATGGTTGCAGAGCAAACTAATTTATGCTACAGCCGAATTGCTCGCTCACAACTTTAATGCTAGTAGCTCACAAAGTAGAATTTTTGCTCACAAGACTCCACAGCTTAGAGGGAACATTGCTGGTGCCACCCCCATAACCCCTTAATCCATCAAAAGGGGATTATTCAATATATCACCAGCGATGCCCTCCAAAGTGGCAGTGGTGGCTCAGCTCCTGGGCAGAGCAAATTCGGGAGGGAGCGTTGCCCCAAGGACCCCTTCCCCCGGTGCCATGTTTCCCCCCTTCTCTGTTTTTTTACTAGCTACCTCTATTACCAACTAGAGATGCTAGCTACGGAGTTTATAGTTCACCACTCCTGGACTCGTTTGTGAACTTGCACAGCTATAACATAATCCGATAGCTAGCCTTGACTTCCTCCTGCCCTTTCAAAATGATTTTTTGAAACTAGGTTATCTCCTTAGCGCGAGCCTTGATGTGGTGCCACTGTGATGCGCTATGACTCACCCATGTTAATGGTTTGGGAATGGGGTAGAAAAGTCTTGTCATGGGAAGTATTTAGTTAAAAAAGACCTCTCTACTCACCTTTCTCCCAAGCACCTTAGAACCTGAGTAACCACACTGTTAAAGCAATCTAATTTTTTTTAAAAAAATGTTTTTGCCTTAAAACTTTCTCATGCTGCCTTTCCACTTGATCAGGGCTCACAAGGCGGTGAACACGAAAACATCTGAACAATTTAAAACATTTAAAATTATAAAATAGTTCAATAAAAAACACACAAACGTACAGCACCAGAACCAGGGAGGAGGTCAAATAACCGTTATTGGGGGGGGGTATGCCAAATGAAACAAAAAAGTCTTCACCTGCTGGTGGAAGACAACAATGGAGGGAGATAGAAGAATCTTCCCTGGGGAGGGAGTTCCAAACCACCTTGACCTGAGGCAGGAAGCAAATTGGAGGCCCAGATCCAGGAGCACCCCCCAAGCTATGAACCTGCTCCTTTAGGGGGAGAGCAACCCCATCCATAACAGGGGAGAACATATTTCCTGGGTCAGGCCTTTCCCTCCAACAGTAGCACCTCTTTTGTTAGGAGTAAGTTTCAGCTTGTTAGCTATTAATCGTTTTTAATCAACAATCAGGGCTCTTTTTGTAGAAAAAGCCCAGCAGGAACTCATTAGCATAATAGGCCACACCCAACAGCAGGAACTCATTAGCATAATAGGCCACACCCCTGACAGCACAGCTCATTAGCACATTAGGCCGCACCCACATGTTACCAGAAGTGTGGTCATCCAGCCACATCCACCTTTTGCTTGTTATTCTGTTTACCTTGTTTGTTGTCAAAACCGAGGGCCTTTTTTTGTAGCAGGAACTCCTTTGCATGTTAGGCCACACCCCCTAATGTAGCCAATCCTAATGCGTTTCTGTTGTTGGGTGTGGCCTATTATGCTAATGAGCTCCTGCTGGGCGTGGCCAACTTGAGAGCCAGCCAGAACTCCGTTCCTGTGCGTTCCTGCCCAAAAATAGCCCTGATCAACATTAAAACCATAGATAATACAATACACTTAAAACCACGTTAAAAACCAATTTGGGAACAAGTTATGTATGCTCAAGAGAAGAGAAGTGCAGAGCTTTTAGGGGACTGAAAAGGCAAAGGATTAATGGAAATGCTGGGGGTGGGCTATAGGGGAAAGAGAGCAACCATGCCCCCTGAGGTTCGCTGCTATTTTGTTAAGGACAGGAAGAATGTTAAAGCAGGAGGGAAGCCACAAAATGGTGTGGTAATGCATGGGAGTTCTCTCGTCAGGCATTAATGATATAAAAGACACGAGCTGTGGGGGAAAAAGTTGCTCCCCACCCCTGCTGCTGCCAAGACAAAACTTTGCTGTTTGGAGCAATAATCGATATTTGCAACAAACTAGTACTAGCAGTCTAAAGCCAAATGACTGATTTAGTTCAAGTACCTGAAACTCTACCCTGGCCCCACGGCCCACTCACAGCCAGCAGGGCGGACCCTTCTTTACAACTGCAGGAATAGTCTCAAGCCACAGCGACTCTATGCCCCCTTTGCCCTCTGTGCCACACTCCTGATAACTCTTCCCCGGGACGTTTTCCTTATAGCTCTGTCTCTTCTATCTGCCCTTCCTTCTGCTTCCATTGCCTCACTCAGCCACCTCCTCTGACAACTTTCTTTAGCCATCCTCTTCTCCCCAGCTTCTCTGTCTTCTGGGTTTTTCTCCCAGTCTGCTTTCTAGTCCTTAGTTTGCTTCTCCTTCCACAGTGGCTGTGAGAGGCTTGTGATCTCTTAGAACAATAGTTGGCCTGTGAACACAATGTGGCCGACTGCTTCGTTCCTTGAGCATTTGGAATATGCAGGAACATTCCATGACATCATAGATGCACAACCAATAATTATCAGAAGTTTCACTGCCACAGTGTGTAACAGAGATTCCTTGAGGAACAGTATGAGGATTTACAGTCAATAAATTATATTT